TCGAAGAGACGAGAAGGTCAAAGCGTTTACAGTAAACCAAAGGGCCGAGTCAGCTTCGTCGTATTTCCTGTTTTTTCTGCTGGCAGCCTCAAGGCTGAGTTTCATATTTAAACCAAACGTTGGTCATGAAGCTGAACCTGCTTCCAGATCATCTTTGAGTTAATAACTGTTCGTGTGATTCAAACCAAAATCCAATGTGAACGAGGTTTTCACGCTTCCTGTTTGTTTTTCCACTTCCTCAAACGTCTCCGTCCCACCGGAGGGCTGAACAGGAAGCCTGTTGATACAATTGAGCTCTGCTGCCACCTACTGACTGGAGGCTACGCCAGCTCCTCGCCCCTCAGGGTGGCTCCAGTATGTGAGAGGTCTAAGCTAAGACGGTTTGTTCAGAACTGGACCAGAACCAGCTGGTTCAGCCACTGAAGCCGATTTTAACCACCAGGACGGTTCTGGTTAGAGGTCAGAGGTCATTCCCTGTGCCCTCTAGGATGCTGCTCGGTCTGAACCATCAGTGGTTTTACTGCGACATTGTCGGGTTCAGAACTGATTCTGATGAAACCGACAGTTCAGACCGTTCTCTCAGACTGGAGCGGCACTGGGAACCAGTTGAGCCTCCAAATGTTTGTCCAAACTTCCCGGGTCGGCATTCCCACCTGCCGGATTTTCCCAGCAGCCTCTGATCCTGCAGGGGAAATGGCTGAGCTGTCACACCCTGCGTACTGTAAGCTAACCCTCACAGGCTGTCATTTGTGATAATTGGCCTCAGTGATTTTATTCCTGCGCAAATCGTCCATGTCTGTAATTTGTCAAGAAAAACATCCGTGTTAAATTATCCGAAGTGCTTTCATTAGCAGCATCGGATCGTCTCCACCCACTCCTCTCAGCGCCCCTCATCACAGTAGCTACCTCTACGGTTAATGAGCAGCAGGTTTTATAGGAGACAAAACGAGCTCGTTAACGACAGAAAACACTCTGACCTGCTGCTGGTTTAACTGGCCAGAGATGATCTCCTGCAGCTGAATGGCTTTAATTAAACATAATGGAGGAGATGTTTGCTGTAAGCCGGCCGCTGTGTCACGTGTCTGGAGGAAAACTGGAAAACACTTTACAGCTGATTCTGGCCTCAGGAATCCTCTCTAAGTAAGAAGAGAGCAGCTGAAGAGCTTTAGAGTTTATGAATGTAGAAAGCTTCTGATGACAGAAGTGGAAAACAGGAAGTTTCTCTCCACCATGGAGGAAAACGAGCATCAGCGCCTCTGCATCAAAAATGAGGGAACGGAGTCGACATGTGGCTGCTGATCGTATTCGCTGTCATGGATTCAGCAATCAGTGGCACACGCTGCTAGCTAAAAGCTAGCTATGCTAACACAAAATAATGAATAAAAAATGTTTTCGAAGCTAGCAAACATTCTAAAGCGCTAAATGAAAGACAGCTCATCTATTAGCGGCTTAGCGGAAGCGCACCCACCACTGCCAGCCATGATGGAGGCCAAAATGGCTGTTGTGACGGACGCCATGTCAACGATATGAAACTATTTCACTAAGGCATCGTTTCATCTCGACCTCACTGCTTCCCCACCCTGGATCTCCTCGTTTCAGGTCAACCACCTGCCTCGACTCTTCAGAATAAAAGCCCGTTGAGTAACCAGCTCATCAGTTAAAATGAAGCTGAAGGTTTTATGTTGGGAGCCTCCCAGCGGTCTGTGATCCCAGGACAGAGCCGACTGTAGGTCTGTCCTGGCTTGATGTGGTTTTGTTGATGACAGTTCGGTCCTGTCATTACGGCTAACGGCTCTGAGAGCTAAACTCGCCTGCAAACCGAGTCTGAAGTTTAATCACTGACCTCATGAGGCGTTTGTTCCCACAGCAGCAGCCCCCACTTTCCTTACCGTCATCCCAGAATGAAAACAGTTTTATTCCTGTTTCCTCCCAGATCATGACCTCATGCAGCAGCAGGCTGACGGGTCTGGCTGCCGTTCGCTGGGGTTTCCTGGGATCCAGCTGGAGCTTTACAGGCTGGCTCTGCTGCAGCTCTGACTCATTCAGGGACGGCGTGGAAAACAGAAGTTTGAAGTCTCATTACGATGTTTCCACTGAGGAACACAACAGAAATGCCCCGGCCTGTTCAGACGCTCATTTGGTTCTTAAAACCTGCAGAACCGTCTCTCTGTCCGCCGTACAGGTTCTGCTGCTGACCCGGTTCGGTCCGGCCTTCAGCTGATTGATAGATGGACTCACATCATCCGACTCTAGGACGTTTAGATATGCAGAAGAGGTCAAAGGTCACTCAGTGATGTCCTCCATCCTGTCCAGAGGACATCGTCCCAGAAGCCTTTGCTCTGCTAACCTCAGTTCTGCCGCCATCTTGTTTCTAGAGAGAAGAAGATTTGTCCCTCAACCCTTCCAGACTAGTTCTGGGTCATAACCTTTAACCTTTAGCCTGCTGTAGAGGTGAGATTCCTCTGAGCTTCACGCTCTGATGTCTGGAGGAAGGTGAACTTCAGCTGGTTAGAATATGACCTTTGACCCCTCCCAGGTTGATGGGCAGCAACAGTTTCAGCTCTGATGTCACTGATGATGTCTGAGAGTGAAACTGAAGATCTGAGCTGGATGTTGAATATCTGACTGTAAATCAGTCGGAGTGACTCTGGTGTGTTTCCAGTATGTGAGAAGACTGCTGCAGCATCCCGCAGTGCTGCTGTGCACTGCAGCACAGCAGCAAGCTCAGCCGTTCCTCTGAGAGCTCAGAGTTTATCTCCTGCAGGATTCCAGAGTGTAAATCCTCCAGCCTGTATGTGATTATTTACGTTCTGACTTTCCTCAGAGCTGCCAAGCCTCCAGCAGCTCTGAAGTTAAACAGAGCAGAGCGGAGGAGCGGCGGGGCTTCAGCCGACCTTTGACCTCTCTCTCAAACTGTCAGGCCTTTAATGAAGCTGCTGAGGGAGCGAAGCCCCGGCTGGAGCCGCTCCAGCATTCTGAACCGTCACCGCGTCACGTTTTGAAACGTGTGTGACAGAGAAACCTTCACTCTGCTGCAAACGCTGGGAAAACCTGTGTGTGTGTGTGTGTGTGTGTGTGTGTGTGTGTGTGAGAGGACAGAAAACAGCAGCCTGCTTCCTTTGTGTACATCCTTCAGACTTTAATAGTGAAGCCTAAAACCAAAGAATACTGTAAAATAAATAAGAATAAAAAATGCCACAAGCACGTTTCATTTACAACAAATCAAAGCAACATACTGGAATCTGGCTTCCATATATACAGAATAAAAAATATACTTTTTATTCTTTGTCCACTCTTGTTCAGTGTCAGTATTTATATTATTCTTACTTTTATATAAAAAGAACAGCATCTAAACACGTACAGCCATGTTCTACTAACTTGCTCTTTTTTTAGCACTGATATTTAATTTGAGTCCATAAACATGGAGGAACTCAAACACCATGAAACCAGGGACTTATTTAAACCTTCAGCACTGAGCTGCTTCCTCAACTGGAACCAGGTGAAGAGCATTGTGGGAAATGGAGTTTTTAATGTGCAGGGCAGCAGAGACGAACATGATCTGTAGAAACTTAATAGCTTCCAGAGACTACATGAGTTTGACATGGATTAACATCAGTTATTGACCTTTTCACATGTCTGACAGTTTTCTGATTTCTGAAGGTTTAAATTGATGTTAATGAATCCGAAGGTCAGACGGACTCTTTGGTGTTCGAACAGGAAGATTTAATCTGTTTTCTGCTCTGGGTTTAATTTACGACAGACCAAAACCATTTTCTGCTTTGGGTCTAAATGATCTCAGCTGCAGCGACAGGAAGTCTGTTCATTCAGAAAAATTCATCTGAAACATGGAGCCATGAACAACCTGCATGAATCCTAAACATTAACATCTCCTTCAGGACTCGGATAAATACTTTAATAATTCCCATTAAATTATGATAATCAGGATTAGACTGAACCTTATGGATCTGATGGTGATTCACTTTTGGTCTGATGAACTGAACTGATTTGGTTCTGGAACCAGAATCAGTTCAGTTTCTCTAAAGTGCCTTCAGATGATCAGATGCAACGTTTAACTGAGCATCAATATGCAAACATGAATAAATATGGAACCAATCAGACGTCCTGTAGTGAACTTTAACCCCGTCAGGTTTGTTTTTATGGATCTGATCCAATACTGATAAAGAACCGACCCGGTTGGTCGTTCTGTAGGCTGGAGTCTCTCAGGTGAAACCAAACGGATGTTTTCTTCCCAGCAGGTCATTAAACTTGCAGCTTTAAATGTTACTGTAGCTTGAAATGGTTTGGCCTTTCAGAGGGACCCATAAGAACCACAACCAGAAGTTTTCTCCCTCCAAGTCCAACATTTTCTTCTCCAACGACCTAAAAAATGTTTTATTAATAATCAAAGATGATTAATTTTGATCTCCAGGGGAATCATTTGAATTAACGTCGTGTTTCACTGGTTCCCAACGCAGCAGGGACCAATCAGAAGCCTTGAACCGTGACATGTGACCTGTTGACCTCTGACCTGAACTCAAGTTGCTATAGTGCAAAAAATAACACAACGTTTGTAACGCTTCTTAAACATGAAAAAACTGAAAAATAACACAAAATATTAACAAGAATAACATTAATATTATTAATATACTTACTAACAATAATAAAATTAATAATAACATCAACATGGTTACCATGGTAACGTAAAGAAGTGTTTGGTTCCAGCAGCCGAGCCAACTTGTTTCGTTCAAGTATCTCTCAACACACACACACACACACACACACTCCACGATGTACACTTCGACAGAGTAAAGGTGTCTCCGCTCCAGAAGCAGATGCAGGACAGGAAACAAGTTGCATAGTTTGAGATCTTTTTGTTTGCAGTTTTTCAGGCGCCTTGTCTCTGAAGTCCCACTGGTACAGCGGTTCCTGAACGCCACATAAATACGCCTTGCTCCCTCCGTTTGTAACAAAAATATATTAGATATTCATTTGTTTATCTTTTTTTCCTGGTTTTTCAGAAAGTGCCATCGAGACTCTGGCTGAGTTTGACTCAGCAAGTCTGGAGACGAGTTTCCGTCCCAGAGAGCGACCCGGAGGAAGGCGGGCGCTGCCGCCTCCCCCGTCCTCTCCGGTCCGGTTCGGTCCGTCCCGTTCGGGTCCGAGTGTTTACGAGCAGCCGCACTCCTCCACGATCATGTCCTTGATGTCCTTCTTGATGATCTTCTGCTCCTCGTTGTAGTAGAGCATGGACATGGCGCGTAGCCGGGTGGGCACGCAGCACGACCGCAGGTTCTGGAAGGGGGTGTAGCCCCGCATGCGGTAGTGGCTGATGACGGTGGAGTGGAAGGACAGCGTGGAGCCCGCGATGCTCGCCACGTGAGACGGGCACTCGCCCTCGCAGTAGTTGGCGTGGTAACCGGACGGCGCGATGATCCAGTCGCTCCAGCCGATGTCCTTGAAGTTGACGTAGAACTGCCTCTTGCAGCAGACCCTCACCTTCCCGTCGCACTCCAGGCCGCGCTTCCTGCGCCGCCGAGCGTCGCCCTGCCGCACCACGGCCATGAGGAATGGCCGGTGGGACTGCTCCCTCTGGTTGCCGCCGGAGACCAGGACCAGCGTGGCGCCGGAGTCGCTGCAGAGCGGGCAGGACACCCGCAGGCTCAGCGCGCTGCTCCGCCGGCTCTCCAGCAGCGCCTGCACCGCCGCGGACACCGGGAAGGTGTGCCAGCCGCTGCGCCGCGTGTCCACCGTCTTCTCGGCCAGCAGGACCTCGTCCTGCGGCGGGCCGAGGTGTCCACGCTGCTGGAACAGGCGGATGGTGACTTTGGCTCGGCTGCGGTTGGTTTTGGCCAAGCGGAGGAAGAGCCAGACGTTGGCCTGCTCCACCAGGGACATGTCGCCTCCGTCCTTAGACAGGACGAAGTTCACCAGGCCCTGGGACTCACCTGGAGACACAGGGAGAGGACAGCGTTAGGTCACCTGCTCTGCTCTCCGATTGGCCGGCAGGTCAGACCAGCCCAGTGAGACTTCCTGAGCAACAACCAGAGAGTTATTTAAATCATCATCATCACCTTCAAAAACAAAGGAAAACGTGACGAGAATTGAGTTTTACACCCCAAACAGCTGGCTACCATGACAACAAACACAGAGATCGGTGTGTGTGAGCCACATCAGACACACACAGACACACTCCCCGCTGACTCGGCATCAACGGTTGGAGCTTCTGGAGTTGGAGGTTTTTATAGCAGCTAATTGTTCCCACCAGGACCCTCGTGGTCATCCTGCTGCCGGGTCTGATGGTGAGACGGCTCCGAACCTCCAGAACCAACGTGGTGGAAAACCTGCAGCTTGTGGCTTCGTTGGAGTGAAAACCTCCCGAGGACTTTAACTATGACGAAAACACGTATTCCTCCTAGAAAGTTCTTCGTTCAGGAGTTTCTCCTTCAGAAATCGGTTTGGCGTTCTGCTGCTGGTAAAGATGAGTTGTTCCTCCCTACAGTCACCTGGTGGATGCTTACAGCAGCAGAACCAGGCTGGTGAAAGGCTTCCTGGACCTTTGCTCTCCAAACGCCTCCGTCTCTGGTCTGGGTCGATGTTTGGTGCTGACAAGCTGCATCGGGTTTCCACTCTGTGGGTTTTATGGCTGTTCTTCCTCTGGTTGCTCACATGTGGTGCAGCTTTATGTTTCCTGGCAGCCTGGAGGCCGGAGCGACTCCCAGCCTGCTCTGCCTCGTGGGCAACACAGAACGCAAGTCACGACTTCAGAGTTTATGAATGTCAGCAGCAGCAGCGATGCTCAGTTACTGTGTGAATGGGCGACGTGTGTGTGTGTGTGTGTGTGTGTGTGTGTGTGTGGAGGCGGGCAGCGATTCACTGAGTCCATTAGAGCGTCTTAAGAGACGTTTGGAGGCGATTATCTCACTTAGATCATCATCACCTCCAGGAGACAGAAAGTAAAGGGTTCTGTTCATTCATCCTTTCTGAGGACCGGCTGTACTGGACTGGGCCACAGAACCGGCCAGTTCTGGTTCCAGACACTGCCTCTTCTTCTACTTGGCTAAAACCTGTGGGTTTGGATCACTTTACGGTCCTACAGAAGAAGCTCAGTGTGGTCCAATCCATCTTTCAGAACCAGAACCGAGACAGACGGTTCAGTTCAGGATACCAGAACCAACAGAACCGCTCATCAACCTGGAACAGGAGGAGCTGAAGCCCAACAGGAATAATCTGGACCCTCATTAAGCCCCGCCCACTTTAAATCAAGATGGATAAATTTTATCGTATTTTAATCGAGAAAACCCAGAGATCAGGTTTAATGCAGATGTTCTGGTTCCATCAGCTGCAGCTCGTCTTACTGTAACAGAACCGGTTCTACCAGTGGGGAGAAACTCCAGCTGGCTGGAGAACCAAGAAGTTTGTCTCTGAAGTGAGAAGCAAATAAAAATCCATGTGACTGACTAATAGATGAAAACCCGACGCAGCTTGGCAGAAGAGCCGATCTGAACATTTTTCATTTTTTCTCATGAACTTCTGCTCCGGCTTTAATGAAAACAATCTGCAGAATGCATCCCATAATTGTCTGTCACTGTGGGGAATTTTGAAGCCGCTCCAGATGCAGAGTCTATGGATTGTTCCTGTCGAGTCGTTAAAATTATCTGTGGCTCGTTGTGAGAACATTTACGATCAAAACAAGCATAAAAATCTGAAGTTCTGACACAAAGTTGGACCCCAGCAGTCAGGAATATATTGGGGTTCTGGATGCGTTGGGCCGACCTGCGGTGGATCCGAGTTCAGGACGAGCGCCGTCGACTGCAAGGAAGAAATTTACCAGGTCCACTCAGCGGAGGACAGAACCGAGCTGGACCGGCAGCTCATTTACCTCACGCCCAGTCTGGACCCCAAAACTCCGCTAAACCCGCCAAACTCCCCAAACTAAAAGCATCAAACCATCAAATAACTCAGATTTCTGATTGTTTTTAGACCACTAAACGCAACATTTTTATAATTTGTGGTAATTTAACTCGACCCAGTTAAGATTCATCCAGTTTGAAACCAGTTAGCTTCAGGCAGCAGCTCAGCTAGCAGCTGATGGGGCAATGCCTGATGACCCACTGCTAAAATGTTCAGGTTTCTCTCATTAAACATTAAAGTTGACCACTATAAAGGTCAAAGTTCACCTCAGACCTAAATCAGCTGCTGCTGATGTCTTCAGTCTGTTGATGTTGGATGAATCCTCTTCAGTCGTCTCTTCACAACATCCTGCATCTTCTGTCCAGCTGAGGATTTTATATCGACTTCTGTTCTTCATAGTAACTGTATGAACTGTTACTATGAACCATAGCAACGCCATAGCAACGCCATAGCAACGCCATAGCAACGCCATAGCAACTGTATTTATGTCTAACCAATGTTTTCCCAAACAATGACTAGAATAATGCTAACCTTAACCAAAATTTATTTTCAATTTGTTTCTGCAGCACCAATTCAGAACATTGTTGTCTGGAGGCACTTTACCAAAAAAGTATTTTCAGTTCAACACAACTAATGCTGTTTATTAGTTCAGATAATTAAAAGTAGTTTAAAAAGTTTTCATCTAAGTAATTCACAGAAAATCAGTTTAATTTGTAGAGCAGAACTGAGGAAATGAGGATCAGGAACATTTTTTCCCTCGACTTTAAATGGTGTCCAAATGTCCAGATTCAACACGACCAGAACCAGAGCGGTTCCGTCTCAGAATCCTGCCCAGAAATGTTCTGCAGAGATTCAGAACTGAATAGAACCACAAACCCAGACCAGAGTTCTGGTTCCTGACCAGGTTCACCTGGAGCCACCGACACCATCCCCTCCAGAACGTAAGAACCTGCTGGTTCTGCTGGGTGCCAGTTCGGCCCAGTTTGAAACCAGTGGGATCTGTTTTTACTGGCGGTTCTGGAATCGGTTCCATGTGCGGACTGCCGGGTGTGAACAGCGCCGGCTGTTAGAGGCACATAAAACCGAGCCGTAAAATGGTTCCAGCAGCCGGATCCGGCTTCAGACAGCAGGGAGCCGGTCCAAACCGACCTCAGCTGCTGCGCTTCCCCGTCACGCTGACAGAACGATCGGACCGGAGCATCTGAGCTTTGCAGATTTCAGAACCAGGAAGAAGAGGTGATGAGGAAAAAGATGATTTCTGTTCCATGTCAGGAGAAACTGCAGATCTGATTCAAAGGTCCACAGAGACATGAAGGTTGGGTCAATAAATGGACCCAAATCCTGGAGAACAGGAACCATCTGGACTCAAGGTAACAACCTAATCATGTGACCAGATCAGCTCAGGTATAACCAGGTGAAGCTGCTCGGTCAGCTGACCTCCTGCACAGGTTACTGACAGTCACTTCTCTTTATCACTTTAAACTCCTGTACACTGCAAAAATATAAAATCTTACCAAGTATTTTGGGTCAAGTTTCCAGAGCAGATGTCTCGATTTTGCCTTGTTTAAAGTGTAAAAGCTTCTTTAAGTTTTAACTCAATAATTCTTTAAAATTGATTATTAAGTTATATTTCCACTGGCTGAATATTTCACTCTTAGCATTTTTCACATGGTTGAAGTGAAATAATCTGTCAGAGGAACTAGAACTTATCAGGATTAAAGAATTTACTTAAAGCAGGTTCCTAAATCTTGCTAAAAACTTCTTATAAGTTAGTTTTGTCTTATTTTGAAGGGAACTGAGATATTTGCACTAGAAACCAGACTGTAAACAAATTGTAAATAGGATTTTGTTTTTCAGTGCAGTATCTACTTCCAGCGGTGGATGAATTGAGTCATGTTCCGTGTCAGCGGGTCTGCTCCCAATCTGCAGCTGTTTACTATGGAGTGACTCATCTGTCCACACACAGCATCTCTGTCACACATCAAAGCCGAGCCAAATGAGGTGATGGGCCGTCCCACGACGCCAACTGCTGCGGCTCCGACTGCACGGACACCACCTTACACTGGCCCTGAACACACCACAAACACCACCTTAAATAGGCCCTGAACGCACCACAAACACCACCTTAAATAGGCCCTGAACGCACCACAAACACCACCGTAAACAGGCCCTGAACGCACCACAAACACCACCTTAAATAGGCCCTGAACGCACCACAAACACCACCGCAAACACGCCCTGAACGCACAGTGAACACGACCGTAGGGAGGAGAACCAGATGACAAACTGAGAGAAAACATGACAGAACACAGAATAAACAAAACAGAACCAGAACCAAACAAGGGTATAGCAGCAGAACCGCATCAGACAGATGTTCGTTCGTCCAATCAGCGGCGGCCGTGCGGCTCCCTGTGGCCGTCAGAGGTCAGTGAAGTGACCCTGAGCTGGTGGCGGCGCTGCCAGAATAGACCCAACAAAGACGGGTTTATTCTGCGGGCCGAGCAGCGAGGGGTAGGCCGGGGTTAGCGCGCGGAGCAGGCGGATGAAAGCGCTTTCAGGAATGTCGCTAATGATGTGTTCAATTAAGTTCAATTAGCCTAATTGTCCTCTGTGTGTGGTGAGGGACGGGGAGAAGCGGGAAGATAAACAGGAACGGACTCTAAACAGAGGACAGGAAAAAACAGAGGACAGATGGATATTGTCCCCGAGCTGCTAAACAGAGGTTGACACTTGGTCTCCGCCAAGAACCCAGTCATCCCTGCGCTCCCGTTCCCGCCATCTCCACGGCCCAAAATAATTACTGCGCTCCCTGAATGCACCGCTTCTTTCCCAGGAGGCCGCAGGGCCAGCTGGTACGGAAAGCTCATATGCATTTAATGGATGTGCTCTGCAGGCTGGGACAGTTTACTGGACCACTGGTTTCCATCAGAGATCTTCTTCGGAGACAGATGCTCCTCAACCCAGTGGTGGGGAAAGTGGGCGGGGCTAAAGCGGAGCCGCTGAGCCTGGATCAGTAAAGTTCAGATGTTCCTGCTTTAAACACTTCAGTATTAAACAAAGTGACAGCTGCTGTTGCCTCGTCAGGTAGCTAAGCTAGTGTTAGCTCACAAAGCTTTTAATCAATGCCATGACAAAAACACTGACACCTAGTGGCCAGTTTGGAATTACATGTTTGTTTAGTAGATCAGGTGTTTTTGTTGGAAACTTTTTAATAACATTTCTGCTGTTGACTTTTATTGTCATCTTATTGTCATCTGTGGTTCTGTATTTCATCTCTTCATAAATGGCCATAAAAATTATGTTCAATTCAGCTTTTCTACGTCCTCTAATATTTTCCTTTATTTTCTTCATCAGTGGTTCTAACCCACTGGACCGGTCCGTTAGCTGATTCAACGATCCACTTTTTGACTCCTGATCCAGTCGGAGCAACTCAGAGGCGCCCCCTGCTGGTAGGTGTTATTTACCTGAGGAAACTTTCTTCTTCCTTTGAACTAGAATTCATATTTAATCTGAGATTAGATCATCTCAGTCATAATTCATCTGAAATTAGGCTCAGGGATGTGAAACATTATTCAACACGTGGTTGAAACCTTAAGCTTTAATTAGATGTAATTATTTGATTTGATTTTGTGTTTTTTATTTTGTGAGCATTTCTGGATCCTCTTGATGTGGCAGAAAATATTTTCCAGGTCAGAATGAAGAATCATGAGTCAAAGCTTCAAAGAGTCTGAGCTGATGGCCTCATTAGCTCCAAACCTACAGTCTAAACTCAGGCATTAAAAGGGAATCTGCTCCCAGAGGAACGCCATTAAATGACGAGTCGGATTGCTGTAGTTTGTTTGGAAACCAGATCTGCTGCAGCAGAGCCTCGGCTGCTTCTCTTTCATGAGGGAAAAACGTTGGAGCTGCTTTGTGATCGAATCATTCTCAACTCGACACAAATGTAAATACTTCATCTGCAATGTGCCTCTTCTTACGTTGGATGGGAAAATTGCTTCAAGATGTTGACTATAAAGCGCGCTCTGGCTGACCACAAGTGTTTTTAGCTGCATCCCACAACTTCTCTGCAGCGGCAGCAACATGAAACGTGTTAAATTCCTCCTCAGACGCTCAGACAGGCGTTCACATGACAACCCCCAGATAAAAGCCCAATAAACCCGAGCCAGAGGACCGGGCCGGTACCGTCGCCCGGGTTCTGGTAGCACCAAAACCTCCCAGATTCTGCTGACTGAGAGGAACTTTCTGGGGCCGTTTAACGCCCCGATGATATTCAGGGTGTGCTGGCGGAGAAAAGAGCCGTAAACGAAGCCTGCAGCTCCAAACTGACCAGAGAACAAACCGACAGAATCCAGTCAGAACCGAGCCAGACAGGGTCCAAAGCAACGACTGCTCCTCCTTCTGAGGCGCAGGACAGAAACCTTCAGACTCCTGGATCAGAGCCTGACAGACACGATGCAGGGTTTAGTTCTTCTTTGAAATAAGTTTCAACATGAAATATAAATTAGTTTGTTTATATTGAGCTAATTTAGAACAGTGATGTTCTTTTTGGCAAACGGATCCAGTTCATCTCCAGAACCGTGTGATTCTGTCTGGTTCAGTCAACTGGGTCGGGTTTTGATGCAACGACTGGAGAAGAACGGACATTCAAGGAAGATCTGGATTTTGGTGCAGCAAGCACCTGGTGACAGTGGAGAGAAACAACTGACTGTTAACAGGAAGGAAAGGTCCATCAGAACCAGAACCAGAATGAGCGACCAGCTGGGGACCAACAACGCTGCCTGTGAGACGAAACTCTGGGTTTAACCAGATCTGATGGGCTCCAGGAAGTGGCTCAGTGAACTTCTGATTGGTTCTGATCCAGACGGAGCTTCAGGCTGGACGCCGACCTGAACAAGCCGTGCAGAGCCGGCGTGTGATTGGCCGGCTCTGGGTGGCTGCCGAGCCGCCGTCTCGGTGAAGCTGCTCCGCTCAGCCTGTTTGCTCAGATCCGCTTCATAAAAATCTTTTCCATCTGCTGCTCCAGACTCTCGCCTACAGAAACCCAAACTGCTGCAGCAGATCCAGAGTCCCGCCCACACGGTGCCGCCGCTGACAGGTAAACTCACACCCATCTGCTTAAACAACCCAACTGGACCTTCAGAACCGGGTCCCAACCTGGCTCACCTTCAGGCGCTGTGACCCGTCACTGACTCGGATTTAAAGGTGTTAAACTGCTGTTGAAATGGGCGAAGCGTGCCCTGCAGCTGGTCTGCAGGTTAAAGGTGACAGAGCTGTGTTTAGCACCTGACCTGCCGCCTCCCACTGTCACCGTCTTGTCAGGAAAACAAACGGACCAGAACCGGCGGCGCCACCCAAATCCCCGCTGACTATCGGCAGATAACGAGGTATTCTCTGAGAGCAGCAGGGGGCCGTTACTGACGGATCAGCTGGGCGAGTGCAGGTGGACCCGACACCGCTGCAGTGTTTACTCACACACACACACACACACACACACACACACACTGAGTGACTCCAGACTCACCAGCCTCGGCGAAGGTGATGATCTCCGTCGTCTCCGGCGCGTCGCCGCCGTCTCCCGCCCGAGCTCCGGCCGCCGTTGCCGCTCCTCCCCCCTTGCCTCCCCTCCCTCGCGCCTCCTCCTCCCCCTCGATCTGCACGCTGCCGTCCTCGGCCACTCGCCCCACGTGCAGCTTGCGCAGCGCGTTGAGCAGCGCGGCGCGCGGCACGGGCCGGGTGATGTTGGGCCGGGCCTGCAGGTGGAGCATGTTGAGGATGTGCCTCTTCACCGCCTCCACCACGTCCTGCTGCGCCGCCTTCTCCTCCACATACGCCGGCGAGTCGCCATCCGGCCCGTCGTCGCGCCTCATCCGGGCCAGGGCGCAGGACGGGCAGTGGGCGCTGGAGGCGTCCGGCAGCGACTGCGGCGTCAGGGACAGCGGGCTGGAGGGCAGGTCCGCTGAGGATCCACCGCCCTGGACCAGAACCAGAACCAGAAGGGCCCAGCCGAGGAACGGTAACACCGACATGTTGCCACCAACCAGAGGGACAGGCAGAGGCCAAAAAGTCCAAAAGTCGATGAAAATTCAGTCCAGAGGAAGAGTTGCTGTGCTCGGTCCTGCTGCCTTCGTCTCTTTGCTCAGAAGTTTGGAAGCTGAAAGTTGAGCTCAGCTCACAGTCCACCTGCCAAACGAGGGAAAAACTGCAAAGGAACGAGAGAGAAAACACAACGGCAAGGGAGAAAATGAGTAATCCTTATCTTTTTGTCAGGGACAGATGGCTGCAAAATGTGGAGGCGTCATGAAAGAAAGAAAGAGAAGAAATAAGAAAACAAGAAGAGGAGAAACTCTGAATGGATGAAGCAAAGCGGCAGGACGGAGGCTGTTCCTGGGGTGAATCTCTGCAGAGTGTGTGTGTTAGAGAGGACTAAGTTATCCCAGATGAAGGGAGTTCCTCTCTCTCTTTACCTCTGCTGCTCCCTCCCTCTCTCGCTCCGTCAGAGTTGAGTGCGCTCTCTCGCTCACCAGTTGAATGGTTTTTATCGGAGTGGGCCGGTCTCTTTCTGCTGCGACTCTCTGAGCCTCCTACCATAAGTACAGCTGCCTCCTCCCTCTCTCTCCGCCTCCCTCTCCGCCGGTGACGCACCGCTCACATCCACCCTGCAGCCGGCTGGGACTGAGTGAGGGTTAAAACTCTCGGCTGAACCGTGACTCTTCCCTCCATCTGCTGAGCGTCTATCAGGCAGCCAGTGTTTGGTCTGGTGGCTCTCAGCTCCAGTCAACGCGCCGTCATCGTCTCGTCTCGGGGCGAGAAGGTAACGGACCAGCTAGCAGGTCCAGAACCCTCCTGGATGTGATGTCATAACCGTATGAGCTGAGCGCACTCAGACGGTTTGTCAGTGATGAAAGCCAGAATCATAAAGCTCTGCTGGTCCGAGGTTCTGGATGACGAGGAACAGTTCTTCATTCTGCTGAACGAAACTCTGACCTCTCTAACATCTGAAGATCTTCTGGTCTCATTTCCACTGCAGACGTCAACATCGTTCCTCTTCCACTAAATAAACATAATAAAACCTTGAGCTAATTGAAGCTCAGGAGTTTAACTTTAATAAGGATCAAGTTTTTACCGTCTGCATCTGACCAGTTAAATGTTTTGAGCAAAACCTCCAGACGTGTCAGCTGTGTGTTTTAGAGCTGGTTTTAAAGGTTTCCCGTTTGTTTCTGAAGTTCGTAACGGCCTCGCTTCCCATTATCTGAACCTCCAAGTCTTCCGGTACGTGGGAGATCCAGGAGGTCATCACATCGGCCGCTGTTCGACCTTCACTCAATGATCTAAGAGTCTCAGATTTTTTCTTCAGGCGGGATTTTAATACAACATAACACATTTTCCTCATTTCTACCGTTGGATTCTGTTGTTCTCTTTTTCTTGATTGGACCGTTTCTGGCTGTTACTAGACGTTTGTAAATCAATAATGCTGAGACTCAGCCGCCTGTCCGTGTTGCTGGCGTTCCCGGGTTTCCTGTTGGCTGTGGCGAGTCCACGGTTCTGGATGTGGGACAGATTTCAGCTCTGAGGGTTTTCCAGGCGGATGTGAAGGGAGACGGGCGTAAGGCAGAAAGCACGAGGAAGGTGTGACCAGGATTAGGAACCTGCAGGCGAGACTCTGGGACGGAAAGGAGCAGAGTCCTTCAGCCGGTTCTGGTCCAGATGAGCCAAACAGAATCTCTAAAGGGTTTCCTGGTTTGGGTCAGAGGTCATAGCCTTTTCTGAATCTATTTAAAGGTTCCTGATGAGGGTATTCAGTTGAGATGAAATCATTTAACTTGTGGTAAGTTTCCAGATCTCCACTGAATCAGGTTTGGTGACTCTGACATGAAGCATCCCCGTTTCGTCTGACGGCCCATAAGCGGTGAAACATCCTCTCCATGAACACGTCGGGTTTGTTTGGATTTTAATCACCCTGATCTCCAGTAATCCCAGTCATTACCTGCCTCCTGCTCCCACAGCTTCCTGCTGGATTTCTGTGTCATCGTTTGTTTGGTTGAGAAACGATCCTGAACAAAACTTCACAGAAACATCCAGAGTTATTTTAGCAGATAGGAAGAGCCAGCCGGGTCATCCAGGGGAGTTTCTCTGGGAAATCATCCAAACTGGTTCAGGAGAAACTTACAGCAAACTTATCTGCCATGTTCTAAAGTATTTACACTCTGGGGCGTAATGAGGGATTCATTTATTTAAAGCGATAAATAAAATGTATCCCTTGGTGAAGCAGATGGGATGTAGGTCTGCGCCTCCAAGAGGAACAGCAAAGAGTTAAACGTTCAGCCAGAATCAGATGGATCCAATCAGGGAACAACAAAAGCAGCTGAAGTTACTCTGTAATTAAAAGTGATATTGAACCCAGTGGTGGTTGCTGGGGGAGCCGACTGGAGCTGGTGACATCAGGACGCGCGATCTGCTGGAGCCGAGTCACATGTGAGTGTAGAGGAAGCGGCGCTGCAGCTTCCGGCTGAGATCAGACGTCTGGGATTCTCCCTGCGCCGCTCTGACATCAGCAGCTGTGGGGAAAGTGTGTGAGCCGTGAGTGGGACGCTTGTTTTTCATGGAACCTGGCTGAGTGAGCTCATCGCCGCACTCTTGCCTTATAAAGCCTCTGCAGGGCGGATTGTTGGTGCGAGCGTGTCTGGGCCGGTAGCTGCTTTAAATAACTAACCACCTTCCAGTCATGAACCTTTCATACAGCCGGCGGCCGCTGAGGCACTCCGCTCAGGAATCAGCCCGCGGGCACGGAAAGGCGCTTCGGGACAGACGGCTCACAAACCACACTGCTTCATTTAGACGTCTGCTGGAGACGCTTAAATGTTTCCAAAGACACCAAACATGTCAGGGAGGATTTGGAGGAGATGGATGTGAAATGATGCTGCAGTCATGCAGAAGTTCCTCCAACATGCTGCAGACGTCTCCAGCCATGAGGACCGTCCCGCCTGGTTAAATATTTCAGCGCAGGGAGGCGGAGGCTGATCGTCTCCTTCCTCCTTCTGCCTGCTGATTGTTTGTTTTGTTGGCAGATCCTCAGCCCTGCTCTCCACTTCGCTGGGTGTCACTTTCTGTAAACCTCTTCAGCGTGTGTGTGTGTGTGTGTGTGTGTGTGTGTGTGTGTGTGCGCCGTGGTAAATAAACTGATGGCCAGAGCGCTCACCTGCTCCACCTAGTGGCCAGCAGTCGCCACAACCCCACTGAAGTCTGCAGAGAGTCACTTCCTTCACCACGTCGCCCTGGCCCTGACGGTAACCACGGCAACCACGTTTCCATCCTGGAGGTCCAATGAGACGAGGAAATAAATAGGAGTCTGTTCAGTTTGCCTGACTGGAACAGATTAAAACCAGAACGGACCCTGAAGCCTCGCCGTGATTCACTCATGGTTTCTTTTCAGGTTCTCATCATTTATCTTCTTCCTGCCACTTTAAAGTTTTAATCCGGAAATATCTGATTGTCAGAGTTTTCAGAACAGAAACCAACATGAAGAACCACAGAGCTGCAGCCTTTTAATAAACCGATTATAGAAAGATTATCTTCCAGAGCGTTGTCAGGGGAACAACAAAGTAATTTCTTAAATATGAATCATGAATGTGGCCCACATCTGAACGGCCCGGTTCTGATCGTTTCACCGTCTTTATCAGCTTCTTCATCTGGTTCTGATCCAGTGACCATGCTGTCGCTCTCAGCAGCTTTAACATCCATCCACAGACGGCGGCGGCCATCTTTGCAGGCTCTTCTTCTTCGGATCGATTTGGAGGCGCCACCCGCTCACGCAGGAAGCGGACTGCCTCCACGCAGGAAGCGGACTGCCTCCACGCAGGAAGCCGACTGCCTCCACGCAGGAAGCCGACTGCCTCCACGCAGGAAGCCGACTGCCTCCACGCTGGGTTAGCAAAATGAACGACTGCAGAGAAAAATATCAGCTTTTATCCAAAACTGAGCATCAAGATCTGCTGTTAGAACAGAAAATAAAGATCCCTGAGGAACCGGCCCAGCAGAACTTTCTGGGTCAGAAGAATAGGGTACCAAGGGAATTAAGGTTCTGTTGGATTTCCAGCAGGTCCGAGTCCCAACAGAACCACCAATGTGTTCATGGCTTCATCTGGCTCCAATAGAAGATCCAAACTGGGAACCGAGACGTTCTGACTGGTTCTGAACACTTTGGTGGTTCTGGAAAAGGTTGGACTCAAAAATGTCAAACCATAAATTCTTAAAGGTCCAAAAAGTTTGAGGTAGAAAGTCGATGCGGGCGACGTGTGTGTGTGTGTGTGTGTGTGTGTGTGTGTGTGTGTGTGTGTGTGTGAGTGTGTGGATCCTAAAAGTAGAAGCGGCGAGGATGGCTGCTCTCTGATTGGCTGCCGGTTTAACCCTTTCATGTGGTTGGCTCTGGCTGCTTCCTGCCTCAGCAGGAGGAAGTTTGTGAAACATCAGCTTTGATTTGTGGATCATTTGCTGCGTTTGGTCGCTGCGTGACCCAAACAGAAACCCTGAGCAGCTGCAGCGGCGTTCGCTCTTCAAAGCTCTGGTTCTGGTCCAGACGCGGCCCGGACTCACAGCTCTGACGGGTCCAGGTGTTGGGCTGATTAAGGCTCTGCTGCGCACTCGGCCCGGATCAAAGGCTGCGTGTTCAACAAGCTGCGAATCGGGACCTCCAGAGCCTCACCGCAGGGAGCCGCGCTGACTCGGCGGCTGTCAGTCCAACATGGAGGCTTTCCTCTGGCTGGTGACTCCGTGTTTCTCCTGACGTAGGAGCTCAGACCGTTCAGCAGATTTCAGCCCAACAGGACCGTGACTGAAGGTTTGAAGCGGTTCTTCTCAGTCTGAGGCTGTGACCTCTGACCCACTGTAATCTGAGCCGATGTTTCTGTGGTGAAGCAGCTCCGACCCAACCCGCTCAGTGGAAACAGATTCTCTGTGTTGGTTTGACCCCAGCGGGTTGCCGTTAAAACCATTAGCCTGTATGCTGGTGGACACCCAGAGCTCCCAGTAGCGCAGCAGCAGTTGGTCTTTATTCACCAGATCAGATTCAGCCGAGTCCTGCCTGAACGAATTACCCCGGCTGCTTCTGGCTGAACGTTTAAAACCTCCTGAGTTCTGCTGATTCAGACTCCTGCTTTCAATTATCAGGACTCTGAAGCACTTTGGCCCCCTGCGCCTTCATCCTGGACGGATCGCTGAAGCTTCTGGGTTGACGTCTTCTCGTTTGGTCTGATGATCACAAGCTGGACATACAGCCCAGTGAAGCTAAACAGCTCTAGCTTCAGCTAGTGTCTGTTAAACAAGGATTGTTCCTGCAGTCACTGGATTATCTTCCATCAATCAATACAAGTTACAGAGTCGAGACAAAGTAGCTCCTAAAACTCCTGCGGGATTTAAAGCCTTCGACCCGATCTGTGATTTGGCTTCAACTGAAAGAAGAGACAAAATGTTGACCAGATGAAGAGCCTCGATCAGCAGAAACAGGATCGTCATTTCCTGAGACTTCCTGCTGGTCTTCATCTCCCTGAACAAGCTTAAAACTGAACAAAGCATCTTAAAAATAGTCCTAAAAGAATCACCTCTTAGGGAGTTGAAGCGTAGAAAACAGAAGATGTTGCATCAGTTGTTGGATTTGATGAGGATCAACCAGCTGGTTAGAGCTGAGTCAGTCCATCAGACCCTCCTCTTCCTCCCAATCTGACAGATTAAAAACTGCTGTGATGATATTTTCTCAGTTTAGATATAGAAGTTAAATGTTTCTTGTGTTTTAATCATATTTGTTCTGTAACGGTGCTGCACCACAGGTTTTAGCATTGGTGTGAACATTTCTGCTAATCCACTAACAGCTGAGCTATATTTCCATATTTGCTAACTTTGAAAAGGCTTAGCACGCTTAGCTTATGCTAAGCTAATTTACCAGATAAATTCAAAATGCTTATTTACTGAATAAAGTTCAACATCTGTGTTGAAGAATTGCTCTTTTGTTTACATTCATGCTCTTATTTTGAAGGGGGTAAAGGCTGTCTCTGTTTTCTCTCATGTTCTTCGCCTGTGATATTTATTCAGTACCCAGAATGCATTGCTGCATGCTTTCTGACAGAAGCTCTTCTGTTTTCAATCAGGAAAAATCAGCAGCAGAGTTAGCAAAACTCACCAACTATAAACTGGAACATGGTGGGAGTCAGCACTTTAGCATTAGCTCCTGCTCAATACGGTGTCGCTATAGCACATTAGCATTAGCACAACTAATGTTTATGACTAGTTCTTTACAGTCCAATGGGTGCTGGAGTTAGTCACCAGCTGCCTTTAAGGATAAGCAGCTAAAGACGATGGATGGGTCCTCTGGTGCTGACCGTCTGCTTGGACTGGACCGACAGAACCAAAGAACCCGGTGGGTCCGGTTCCTATAGCAGCATCAGGCTCGTTTCCCTCATCATTTAACTGAAGGAAGAAAACCTGAGCTCCATCTTCTGAACATCTAGACGATCTGGTCTGAAACATTTCCACTGGAGTTTAACTTTCAGGTTTTAAATCTTTTTAAGAATCATAACAGGCTTGATGGAGCCTCTGAGAGACGAGACAGAAAACGATGAAGGGCAGGAAACCGCCGCCATGAAAGAAGAGCTCTGAGCTTCCTGCTGCGTAAATAAAGATGTTTTTTATATTCCAGTCATTCTGGTCCTGAATAAACAGGGAGGATCTACAGGCTGCTGTGGAACATCAGACTCGCCACTAATGCAGATCAGAGCAGGATCCATCGTTGTTCCTGGACATGAAGCCTTTTAAGGCCACAAAGCGCTGAAAACCGCCGCAGGATCTGGATAAATCCTGTCTGTTTACGTTGGGACCACCTCACTTCCTGTCAGGCTGCTGACCAACGCCTCGGCCGGCCCTGTGGGGTCAGAGGTCACTTCACACAGACTCGTGCTGCAGCGCGGCTCCGGTCCAAGTGTAAACATTAAAGTCCCAAACAGAAACGCTGAAATATGAATGAGACGGCAGCATAACCAAACCAAAGAAGAAGCTTCTTCCTCACATCAGACGGCAGGACGAGCCGCGGCGTGACGCTGGCTGAGGCCATCCAGTGGCAGGATGAGTCCTGCCACTGGAGCTAACCCTAAACCTTCACACGTTTTATCTGACCTTTATTAAATGCATAAGTTCTCAGCAGGCTGAAATTCAGGAATGCCTCTGCTGCAGATGACCTTCATGAACAATATTTATGTTCTCAGAACCAGAAGCTCCATCAGGAAACAAAGAGTTCAAAGACAAAACACGGTGCAGCAGAACAAAGAGCCAGATTATCAGGAGGTTTTCCTTTAACACAACGGGGAAGGGAAAGGTTTTTAAAATTTATTAACAAATTCATTATGAGAGTCAATTCATTATATCAGTAGAATAAAACAGAAATATTACTAAAAGAAAGTTGTAAAACTGAGAAAAAGTCATTTTAAAAGCTCTGCTAGTCATCAGGCTCTGATGTTCATGTGGTTGTTTCTGAAAAATCATTTAAATGATAATCTGATGTTAAAGAGTATTTATCTGTAAAACTGACACTAAACGTTTACACAACACTCAACACCCCTCATTATGATGCAGTTTTTGTGAGTTCTCATAAAATTACTACTTTCTGTATTATTTTGATCTTATTCTCGTATTATAAATTATTTAAGGCTGTTTTTAAAAAGCGTCTTTAGTACTCTGCTGTATATTAAAGTAACTGAGCTTCAGAAATCTGACCTGGTTAAATATCATGTCTGTTTAAACCTGGTCTGCAGGTTGTGTGACATCAGCAGGAGGGTCAAAGGTCATGGTTTCCTCCATCCAGCTTCAGCTCTGCTGTTTCTAAAGATGAACTGCAGGAGTCTGGAATGTTTTATTTTTAAAGGTTTTCGTGGCTCTAGTGGCCTTTTCAGGTCAGACAGGAAAGAGGAAGACGTGTCAAAGGTCACCAGGCCGGGACTCGAACCCGCAGCACTTTTCCCTCATTTCCAGGTAAAATGTTGCTGAGACGAGTGAAGGATTGTTTTGTCTGTTTCGCTGAAGCAGTTCTGGGAAACCAGCCGACCACAGAGTGAGTTTGGGCCAAAGCGCCGCAGGCAGCCGGTCCAACCTGACGGGCAGCAGGGAGGAGCAGGAACCGCACAGGGAGAGGAAACCAGGAGCAGAACCCTGTGGTACCGCCGCCGGGCCGGGAGGGAGAGGTCACAGAGCCGGGCCGGTCCGAACATCCAGCCAGGTCGGTCCGATCATCCAGCCGGGTCGGTCCAATCATGCAGCCGGGCCGGTCCGATCATGCAGCCGGATCATCCATCCGGGCCGGTCCGAACATCCAGCCGGGTCGGTCCGAACATCCAGCCGGGCCGGTCCGATCATCCAGCCGCCCTCTGCTCCTGACAGAACATCAGAAAACAGCTTTAATACAAACAGCCACAAGGTTCTGGTTCCAGGTCCATTCCAGGTCTGTCGGCCCGGTTGCAGTGTGTCGGCTGGTTCAGGTTTCTGAGGAAGCCGGTTCTGATCCAAATGGGTTAATTTCATCTGAAAAGGAGCAGCAGAGGAAGAGAGGTGGTCAAGTTTTCCTCCATCAGACGCAGCAAAGACTCACTGCAGGACGACTGCACCTGCCTGGGATCTTCACCTGTCATCATCATCATCAGTTCTCTGAACCTCCATTTGTTCTGTGTTTCCCGTTTCCTCCAGGTTAATCTCTGTCTTCCTGTCTCTTTTCCATCCTTGACTTCTTCTCTCTCTCCCTCCGTCTCTCCCTCGTTAGCGGGTCTCATCCCTCACTCCTGTCGTTCTCCTGCGCATAATGACGAAGGAAGCGGCGGAGTGGATGCTTCTGATCTCCTCGGCTTTTTGAAGTTCTGTCGTCTGTTTTCTCTTTTACTCGCTTTGTGCATCATCTTCCCCCAGAGTGTGTGTTTGTGTGTGAATGTGTCGCCTCTTCTGTCTCTGAAGAGCTCTGAGTGCTTTATGTAACACACACACACACACACACACACACACACACGGTTTGTTAAAGGGACCCAGAGCTGAACCTGAATCTCACCTGAGCCGCCAAGCGGAGTCAGAACTCTGAAAGTCCTCTGAAGGACACGGCGTCCTCTCAAACTCTGCGTCCCACACGAGGACGTCCTCACAGCCAACCGTCCAGAGACGCAGGATCAAACACGCTTCATCTTCTTCTACTTCCTATCTTGTTTCCAGGCTGAAGTCTCCAGATAATTTGATAGATGAGGGTAAAACTGCTCAAGGACTCCTGAACATGGCAGTGAAGTCTGTAAACATACAGAGGATCCACGTTTTACCGCTGGAACAAAGGAGCAGAAACAAAAACTTTATTACTGAAAGTGGAGATTCTTTGGCTCCAAAGGGTTAAATCTTTGTTTCTCATTCTGTATTAAATGTTTAATTTGATTAAGTTTCTCCTGAGCTTTCTGTGTGTTTCAGGTTTTGTGTTCAGATGGATCTGCTGCAGTGGGACTGAAACCATCTGATCATCTGTGATGTTCTGATACTTTCACCTACCGAACCAGAACCTTCCAGAACATCGTTTCATAGAGACTCTGTTTTATTTCCTTCTTTTCTGCCTCGTTTCAGTTTGCAGCTGAAATAAGAAGCTGATTTTTTTCATCATTACATTAAATTAAGTGAAAATGAAACATAAATTTGTGGCATTTGGTTCAAAAAGTCAGAATCTCTGATCGATTCAGAGACAAACTTTTATTAGAAAGGAATGTTTTATTTGTGAATATTTCTGATTATTGTTTCTATAGACAAATGTTCCAGAACCAGAACCGGCAGTTCTTCCTCACCTCGGTGTTTTCATTTGAACTTTCCGTTTTAATGGCGCAGCCGTAAATATAAATCAGGTGTTTTATTTCGGATTCGGATGGATGAACCGTCCTGTCGGTACTGGGAAGCCGGTGGTGCGATCCGACTGCATCGACGCAGGAGGACCGTCAGAGACGGTCCTGACCTGATATGACTGCAGGGCCGGGTCCAAAGATCTGCTGTCGGCTCCGTAATCCTCCAGCCATGCGAGCCGGCTCAGGGTGGGTCACATACTTTCCTAAATGTTTTCACCTGGAGATCTGAGGCAGGAGCGTCCGCCAAGCTGAAACATCCAATATAAATCTGTCGTGTTTATCCCAAATCTTTATTTACAGCTCCCAGGTTCTGCTGCTAGGTGCCGTCAGTAGAACCTCCCTAAGCCGCTTCCAGCTGCAGGAAGTCATTCTGGGTTTCTCCTGCAGCAGAGAAAGAGAGCAACAGGAAGCTGCCGTGTGTTTGAGTGGGACAGCCTGATGACGGGACGTCCAACTTGTGACGCCTCCACTGAAGGACAACAACTCTCTCACTTTCTGGGAAATAAACTGGAGAAGTTCAGCTTTGGGAAGCTGACTCTGCGTTAGAGTCTGAGAAAGAGATTCTGTTAGAAAGTTTTAAAGTGATTTATGCTGAAACATATTCATTTGACTCATGAGTTATTACAGCAATTTGATGATGGGAAAGAGAGGATGTTCTTCATCCTAACTAAAACTGAAGCAGAGGAACATTTGGGTCAGTACAGAACCAGAACTGGATCGGACAGAAAGCTCTGTGGACCTCATTTAGTAATATTTCTATTGGTGGAAATGCAAATGGCCTTGAACTCAACTGAAATTAAACGTTTGATTCATTGCTTCGTTCCTCTAGGTTCAGGTCAAAGGCAGTTTGGTTGTCATGGCGACGTCTCAGACCTGTGATGATGTTCAGGATGTGACTCTGAAGGTAAAACCTGCAGCTGAACAGGAATCTGGAGAGTTTCTCCTACTGTTGGTTCATCATTTCCTAATATGTCCTGTGTTTCCTTTTTCAGACCTGGTTTGTTCCTGAATGAAACATTTCCATGCAGACTGAGGAACGTCTGAGCTTTCAGAGAACGGCCATGTTGGACCGTGGCTCAGATGAAAACAGAAATCTGTTGGACCAGCAGCAGAGTCCGGCTTGGTTCCTGTTCCAGCTCCAGCTTCACTTTATGGTAATCAGCAGAACACAGCAGGAGGAGGCATGAACCGGACCAGAACCTGGAGGACTGGATCCAGTACTGTCACATATTTTCACTAAAACAGATTTTTTTAAACTGCAACAGGACAAGTTATTCTGTTGCTCATTGTCCGATGAATCTGATCAGGTCAGATCCTTACCTGCTTTCCTGGCCTCAGTTTCCTTTTTGGATCAGCCCTCATGAAGCTCTCCTTCTGCCTGTGCTGAGGTGACCTTTAACCTTTGTCCTGCTAACTGAGGCCTGTAGAGTCTGAGATGCGAGTTCTCTGCTTTGGGCTAAATCTTTTTGGACATCCACTCTTGGAAAGATCCAAAGCTGATGAGATGTTTTCCTCTTGGAAAATGGTGGTTTGGAGATGACCTTTGACCTTCTGTGGAGTGATGAACAGCTGACGTCATTGCTTTGTGTTGTTATGTCACACCTGGACGCTGCAGAGCAGGAAGCTGATGATGATCAGCAGCTCCTGATTGAAGCAGAAGGTTCGACTCCCATGATCTCATGTGAGGACGGAGGAGCGTCTGTTTGATCACAGATCATCAAAAATAAATAACGTTGCGTAAACATCTCTCATTTTACAGCACAGCATGAAACATTCATCTGCTGCCGTCATTAAGCCGATAGCAGAAAACACCAGCAGAATCTGGGAGGAGAAATTCACTTTCTGTGTGTCAGTCTGGACCCAACATGTTTGCATCTTAAAGTGCTCTGAGTATAAATAGGAGGATAAATTAAACAGAAGAAGCAAACACTGGTCAGAACGTGGAGCTTCGCAGAAAAAGTGTTTGTGCAAAGCAGCAATTAGAGGCGACAGCAGAGAATCAGGTTCCAGAGAAACGCACAAACAAACGTCTGCTTTCTGTAAGCCGTCTGGGCCGTCACTGCCAAATGACCCGACCCGGTTGGTCCAGCGCCGGGACGGCCGAGCAGCAGGCTGTCATTATATGTTACATGTTCCCACTAGATTAGCTTTAAACCGCATATAATCACATGTTTACCACTGATGCACAAATATTTAAACCCAGAAAAATGTAAATATTTTTCATTTCAAAACTTTAATACCCAAAATGTGACTGAAAGAGACGGAAACTTAAATCTGCCGGCAGATTTAAAACACGAGATTTGGTGACATTCATTCTCAGCAGAATGAATGTCTTCATTCTGCTGAGTCAGTTTACATCTTGTTTTAACACATTAAACATCATGGCATCATCAGTTCACATTAATTATCAGGTTTAATTAATAGTAGTGACACGCATACACACACACGCAGACACACACAACACACACACACACACACACACACACCTGGACTTACATCAGTCTGAACCAACCAGCCATCTCTTCAGTCTTTTTCCTTTGTGACTCAGCAGATCAAACGTCGTTTGACAGAATCTGACATCAGTTCATGTTTTTATCTTTGAGAAAAAGATAAAAACAATATGTTAACAACAAGCACTGTTAACAAACACTAACACCAACCTTTACCAAACTGTTACTCACACTAAACCTTTAAAGAATCCACAGCATTAGGACCGGACCACACACACACATATGAAAACATGAAAAACCTCCAGTCATTAACACAACAGCTCATCCTTACATCCTTCAGATGAAAGTCAGGCCGGTACCAGACTCTGTGCAGTCAGAGCTGCTGGGTTCTGGTTCTGGTTCTGTGTGACCCACAGAAAACTCAGTAACTTTTCTGTTCAGGATGAAAAACTCTGAGACTGAGAGATGAAAGGATGATGTCATCATTCAGGAGAAAACGTATTCAGGAAATGTGTGAGTTTTTTCCAACACCTGGAGAACACACGCACACACACGCACACACACACACACACACACACACACACACACCTCCACCCCAGCTCTGATTAGTCAGCTGGAAAACCCAATAAACTGTTCTGTTCATCTCACCTGGTTCTCTGCATTGGATCTGTGAAGCTTCAGAGAGAAATAGATAAAGAATCATGAAGAAGAAGAAGAATACCTTTACTAGTATTATTAGAACCAAAATAACAGAACAACTACTGACAGAACCAAAAACAGACAATTTAGAGTCAGAGACACAGAATGTCCATAAATCAGAAATAAAGAACCACAAGCAGAAACAGGAATTATTGTCACTTCAGTGTTTCAGAGCATCAAACCAAGTTAAATATCGGTGAAAGACAACACAACAAACACAAACTGCAGATCTATCAGATCTGTCTGAAGGTCTGTGCTACATAAGGAGCTACAATGATGACAAAAATCTCTAAAATGAAATCTCATCAGAGTTTTCCATGTGACCTTTATGTTTTGGACTTGCAGATCTTCTCTTGTATCGCCTCGATCAAAACCATCCACTTCCTGTCAGGGAGTGGCTTTGTGGCGTTCCACACTTCAACCAAACAAAGTCTGATGATGAGGATGAGGAAGCTGCTCCGGCTGCTGCTTGGTGATTAAAGTTTAGGGAAAAGCGGATCATGATGTGTGGAGAAACATTCAAAGCTTCAGTTCCTGGAAATCTCTTTAAATATTTATGCAAAATCTTAAATGTGAAAAGAGAGGATGGGTTCAGCTGATCTGCAGCATTTTTTCCTTCTAACTGATTTCACTTCTTTCCCTTTGAGAGCTGAAGCTTCAAACCTTCATCTGCAGCAGCTTCCTGTTCGTCTCCTCATTTCCTCCGCTGTGTTCGGTCTGCTGGTCAGATTCAGAGTTCGATGTAAACCTCCCTCCTGCATATGAAGGCAGGCTGACCAAACGCGACATGAAATGAAACACCTACAGACACTTCAAACGTTCCCCACAGCGACCCGCCGGAGGCGGCGCCACTGGGAGGGGTCGCCTCTGTGCAGGTCGCTCAGGTACGCTGCAGCACCAGCGGACTGGGAACAAACTGGGACCAGCAGGACTTTAACTGGGCAGAGGGAGTTCAGGAGGAATTTACTGGGATAAAAGCTACAGCTCCTTAAAACCTTTCAGAAAATAAAGACAAAGAAATTCAAACCAGAAGTTCAAACTGATCGACTGAAACTGAAGCTCTGCAGGAAGTTCAGCCTGACGTCGTTTTAACCTCTGAGTGTCAGCGAAGTCTGAGCATGATGAGCGATACGATAAAATGAGCGATACGATGCGATGAGCAATACGATAAGAGTGGTACGATACGATGAGCGATACGATATGAGCGATACAATAAAATGAATGATATGCAATGAACGATGCAATGAGCTATATGATAAAATGAGCGATGCTATATGGGCGATACAATAAAATGAGTGATACGATGCGATGAGCGATACGATATGAGCGATACAATAAAATGAGTGATGCGATACGATAAACTGAATGATACGATGGACAATACGATGTGATGAGCGATATGATATGAACGATGCGATGAACGATACAATAAAATGAGCGATGCGATACGATATGATGAGCAATCAATCATCTGCAGGGAAACCAGTCACACATGAACTTCCTGCTCCTCCATAGTCACTGGAGCCCCAAATTATTTTACAGTTGTTCCCTGGTAGGTTTAGATTCAAATAAATAATGAAACAACCATAAATATGGAAATTAATAATAAATTGCAAATTGACATTTATCTACACTGCATGTCTCTTTGTCATTGGAAAGATGAAGAATCGTTGCAGGAATCGATGTTTCCTCTGACAGCTGAGCAGACTTTTCACATTTCCTCTGGGATTCTGATGATTTATCTTTTATTTTGGAGGGTTTCCTTCCCATCACCCTAATCTGGCCAAATTGAGAGATTCAGCATAAACCTGATAGGGACATGTATAGAGTTACAGGAAGGTGACGGGAACATTCTGGTCCGTTTCATTATCTTAAGGTTTAAGATAAGAAAACATTAACACAGAATATGAATAAAAGATGTTACAAGAACCGTTTAAAGACCCAAAGATCCGTTTAGAAAGTGTTGAGTTTCAGGTTCAGCTCCAGAACTTTGAATCAGAACCATGATTCAAATGGATCCATTACAAATTAACAACAGGACATTTCTCAGGACTCATGTTTTAGGAGCGTTAATTTGCTGCTGCAGCTGTTTGGACGTCGGACCAGGACCAGTTAAATCTGGGAAAGTTTCCGAGTCAGAATCACCGGAAAGCAGCAGCGGCCCAGACTCTGAAGCTTTCTGGCTCACAAGTCCAACTTTGATGCTGCATCAGAACCAGACCGCAGATCCATGACGTCACAGAACCAGCAGAGCCACTTCAGAAGGAGCAGCTGCTGACGAAGAACGCTGAGTCAGGCTGACGGGGCAGCTGGGCTGCACCTGCAGGAAGACCAGCCTCTGACCTCTGACCTGCAGCAGCTCACCGTGAATCTCTGCTCCCTCCGTCTCTGACCTCTGTGACCTCAGGTCCAGTTTTACCTCACCAGGTTTGGTTCTGAGCTCCGGTCTGGTCGCCTGCTGACCGTCGTTACAGATGATGAAACGAAGATCATCACTGGTTGATTTGACGAGCGTCTTTAGTTTCCTGTTTTATTGCCACATATCAGAAACCATAAAGCTGCAGAGGGAACCTGATCCGGTCATCAGGGTGTTTTAATTATGTTTCAAATAAACAAACTAAACTCAACCTGAGCTGGGCGTGGAAATCCCAGTGAGGCTGATCATTTACAGAACAGATCAAAACTGAATCAGGAAATAAACGGCATTAATCTGCTGAATCCTAAAGAATTTAAATGATGCGTAAAGAAAGCAGAGAGACTCTGCAGGTCTCAGTTTCCCACGTTGGACTTTTACATGTAACGATGAAAAGATTTTCATAAAACGAGGCTGTGAAGCTGCATGAATATTAAAATCTCCCACACAAATCTGAACTCTTGTGTAAATGTGAGGCCAGCTGTGCGGCCCGCAGCATTATTACCTTCCACTTCAATCTGTCCCCAGCTGACAGATTTACATCCCATCAGCCGAGGAGGCTCCGCTGAATCACAACGATGGAGGAGGAAGT